ATCTATCTTATTATATAAAGCGTCCAAATGATGAGCGGCCTCATAAAGTTCCTTCGAGGCTAATTCCGAACGGGTGGGTATATCTGTTTTAACCTTCATTTTTATTTTTTATTTTTTTGCTCAATGATGTTATAAATAAAATAATAGATTTGATAAATGATCAAATAGGAGCGAAGAATAAATACATGTTCTAAGGATTGTTTTATTCCTTCCATTTTGTTTGTTACATTTTCGACATTGTTCTGGACCTCTTTCATCTATATTTAAATATAATTCATAAATTTTATTGCGTGATGATTAAATCAATAGATTTACGTACTGCCTCTGTGCTAGTCTCTGAAAAATCCAAATGCTTGGCGAGCTCTTGTGATATATCATTTATGCTGTATTCTCCCATTTTCCACAGTATTTTTTAAGTAGAGAAAGTTATTCGCATATCCGTTACACGAGCGTAATTAAAATTTATTTTATTGGCTGGTGATCAGTCATTTATTTTGGTTGGCTGAAGATATAGAGAATCTCGCCTAACGCTAACAGCTGATCATTACATATAGTCGACAGTGACGAGTACATTATAATATACCGATAAAAATTTAATTCCTTTGTATTCTTTTTTTAGAATTATATATAATTTTAATTGATTCTTTACTTTGACATATATAAAAAATAAAAAAGAGCCTATCCTTTAAAGAATATATTAAAAGAGATCAAATAAATGTAATTTATTCGTGTATATTTAGTACTCAAGAAAGGTTTCAATTTGAAATTTTATGTTTTTTCCTATTTACAATCGCTAATTAATAAAATCTTTATTAGTGATAATAACTAAGTTATCTACACTATGTTTATAACTGGACAAAGATGAAATCTCAATAAGATTCATAAAGCGAAAGATTAAGGTAAGGACAATATAAATATCCACTTTTCATAAGAGAAATCGAGATATTATGAGGTAGAAATTATAGATCAGAATCGGATAATCATTTCAGCGAATTTATTAAATATATACCTCAAAATCTGAAAAATTTAACTTCTAATGATATTGACTTTTGATTGCTAACCAAATTCTCGAGTTAGGATGCATCATTACACTTAAATTTCTGTCTAAGGGGTGCGTCAAAATGTAATTAGTGTTATAAGTGTACTGTCTATGCACGAACTACTGTTGTTTAATTGAACATGTACGTTATTCGCAATAAAGGTCAATTACCGGACTTAATATATTTTTTTTAAAACACATTTTACACTTGTATGATGTAACTTAATCTACCAAAGAAATAATACTTGTTTGCCAACCAAGTTCATATGTATTAAGAAGACAATACGGATTTATAATTGCATCAATATCTCAGCTATACTCAGTGTCTGAAATTCAATTTTTAATTTAGTTGCGGGTCCGCAACTAAATAAAAAATATACTTGTGGATTATGTGTTTAGTTGCGCATATGAACATATTATATACAAATTCGAACATTTCTATATGCAAATTCACGAAGTTTATTTGCGGAACTGCATATGCATTTCAGATTTTAATTGCGGGAACTTTAAATCATTTGCAGTCCGCAAGCTCCGTAACCCAATTTCAGACACTGGCATCATTTCGCGCCTATACGATAGACCCGAGAACTAAAAAATTAATATATGATTTGTTAGGGTTGAGGGACCAAATACTTGATGCTTTGGTACCGCTTAATTTCGTCATTATATATAATCTTCCTTATATAAAGATACCAAGAAGCGCACGATATTTATAATATAGAAGAAATATAAGTGCCAGGTCCTTATAAAATTGAACCCTTATAACATTCAAAATAAAAATAGAAAAAATTCTCTCAAAAATGTAGTTTTTAATCAGAAACTATCAATTTGAAAGAATTTAAAAAAATTTTGTTACAACGTCTTTTATAAAGCAAATTTAATTGGAAATATGCTGTCCCGTACTGTATAGTAGTAATACGGAACATCTCACTGATTTCCAATTTGCTTTGAATTAATAATAGCAAAGAAAATATCTATTTGATAAATAAGTGTAGTGATTTCTGGATTTTATAAAATTACATATAGTTAGACCGAACCAGTCAGTACATGTATTTTATTATTTTATATTACAAAATAAGAAAAGAAGAGTATCAATGGTGTGATCCTGTAAGAATTGACTAATTTTTATTCTTCAAAAGAATAATCTTCAATTCTAGCCACTGGATCAGATATTCGATTCACCATATTATCCCTACTTCACCATAATACCTCTTCTTTTCTTTATGTAGAATGTAAAACACATATATTACTGGAAAATAAAAACCATTATAAACCCAAATACAAATTTATTGGTATATTTTCTTTGTAACCATTTCATAAGGTTTATAAGTTATTATTTGGGCAAATGGACAAGTATTTTCAGAATATTTTAAATGCATTAGCAGTGGTTGCAGGTGAAAATATATTGATAGGTGGTGCTGACAACTTGGAAACACTTCCGTTACTACTTTTTGAAGTTGTTTGGTTCACTGCTGCATTACTAACGTTGCTGATGCTATCGTGACTTTCAAAAGAATGTTGATCTTGCTTTTGTTCTTGCTCATCCAACATCACTTTCACATCAGCTTCAGTCTTGCCTTGAAGATTCATCAAAAGATTTTTTACAGCCTCTGATTGTTCTATTCTTTCATTCATAATCTTTATATGTTGTCTGTGAAGATCTTCTTGAAGGTCAAATTTCTTTTTTAAGGATTCGTTTTCATCACTCAACGTTCTTATCTGCTCATCCATCGATTCTGTTCGTTTAATGGTTTTACCGGCTAATGTAGCTCGACCGTGAATCCTATATGCTGTACACTCGTCTTGTAATAAATTTATTTTATTTTTTAATGTTTTTATGCTATTTTTGTTTGTTTCCATCTCTTTCTTCATATTTTGATTTTCTTGAATTTTTTCTTCAACCTCTGTTTCTTTTTTAGAAAATTCGAGTTTTAAATCCACCAATTCTTTTCTAGTATTTGCTAATTCGCGTGATATTTCACTATTTTGCTGTTCTTGCTGTTTTCGACGTTGTCCTTGTAGTTCTCCTAATTGCCTTCTGGTGCTGGCAAGTTCTGCGCTGAGTTCATTGATTAAATCCCTAGATTTGTTATTTTCCTGCTGAAGATTGTTTATAACTTCTTCACGTTGTGTGGATTTACTACACAGATCAATGAATTTTTGTTTCCAATCTTCTGTCATTTCATTCTAATTAAATGCAAGAGTTTATTATATTATCATGAATTTTTTTAATAATCTGAATTTTAAATTTTGGAATGGATGCGTCATTAGAGAAAAATTGGGATAGGAGTACAGATTTTCTTGGTGGATTGTCTGTACAGGCAGCGATTTCTGAAAAAGGGGTGTGTATTGATGTAGGGACAAGTAAAAGAAAGAAGGTATGCTATATTTACTATTATGTAGTTGATATGTCAATCATATATTTACCTTTCATCATTTTAATCACTTTAAAATAACCATTTTAATTCAGGGGAAAGAAGCAGTTTCTAACGGGGAGGACCCTATGAAATCTAAGAAAATAAAAACTTTACCCGATTCTGAAAAAGATGCAGTAGATCCAAAAATTAAAGTTGAAGTTTCGGAACCTGAAATTAATCAATTGGAAAATTCACCGACAACATTTAAATCACCTAATCATTTAAATTCACCAATGCCCGAATCTTCTAGGCGTGTAAATACACCAACACTCGGATCACCCAAACTTTTAAACGCAATATCGAGAAAATCACCTACTTTTCGACAACCTAGACGTTTATTTATATCACCGCGTGAACTACCTAAACGATTGAATGAAAAAGCGGCGGGAAAATCAGTATCTGATCTGGTAGAGAAATCAAATATTTCGGCGAGAGAGCAGAAAGAACAAGTATTTTATCTTTACATAATAAACTTTAAAATCTATCTTATTATATAAAGCGTCCAAATGATGAGCGGCCTCATAAAGTTCCTTCGAGGCTAATTCCGAACGGGTGG